TACTCGAGGCTAGGCCTTATCTGGGCCTTGTATAGAGTGAGAAGGTCATGCGGAGAAAAGTACTTCTTAGCCCTAAACAAACAGCCTAGCTTTTTCCCAGCAGCTGCAACTATTGAAGAGATGTGTTCGTGCCAGATCAGGTCCTCGGTGATCCGGACTCCGACCAGCCGAAATGAATGGCTCTTTGGTAGAACTCGACCGTCCATCGAAACTGTATGAGCGCTAGGACGCTTTTTGTTCGTCAAAGTACAGTACTATGCCTTGGAAGCATCGAACTGTACAAGATTGTTGCGTCTCCAAACAGTGATAGTCTCCAGGTCTCTTGCCAGAGAAGAAGTCGTCGCTAGTCTTCTTTTTTCCAGCTCAGCGGCAGAGATCGGCTTGTCACTCTGAATTCCTGCATGTAGAGTGCTGTCATCAGCGAAGCTGTGGATTGGGTTGATCGTGCAGGAAAGGAGGTCGTTGATATGTAAGAGAAACAGTGTTGGAGCCAAGACCGATCCCTGGGGAACACCCGCGTTGACGTTGTGGGATGAAGAGGAGAATCCGTCAATTACGACGGATATCTTGCGGCCAGAGATAAAGTCAGCCACCCATCTGCAAAGCTTTTCTGGGAGGCCGTAGGATGGAAGTTTGCTTAAGAGGGCAGCGTGCCACAGCTGATCGAACGCTTTCGTGATGTCAAGAGCAACGACATGAGCCTCACCATGAGACTGGATGAGTTTACTCCACAGTTGCGTGACGTAAGCTAGGCGGTCCCCTGTGGATCGTTGGAAACCGTACTGCCTGTCGCTAATCAAGCTGTGACGTTCGAGGTAGTCCAGAAGCTCGCGATTTATGCACCTCTCCATCACTTTACTTATAACAGAAAGCAGAGCTATAGGCCTGTAGTTGTAAGGGTCGGTTTTAGATCCTTTTTTTGGGATGGGCTGTACATGAGCAAATTTCCAGTTTTCTGGGAGGGTGCCGGATTCATAAGATATCAATATTAAAGAACATATCTAAGTTGGTATTTGTTGTTATTGAATCTGATTGTCTGAGATTATATCTGAATAATAACGTGTTCCAATCATTCAATCCCCCTAACATAAAGCAACTTTCTGGTTGAAAAGTTCTCCCGACAGACACGCCGTTATTTACGAGGAAGCAACAAAACTCTAAGCCATAAACTTTTTTATAGTTGTTTATCAATATTCGAGATGGAAGAAACCGGCACACCAGAACACCAAGGATATTCATTTTTCCAATCGCGTGCGCAGTACAAAAAAAAGGTGATTCCGCTTGAGTAATGGTATAAATAGGCCAGGAAATAAGTAATTATTTCCTACAATTTTGGCGACAGTAAATTGTTTTGGTGATTGCTTTCTAATGATAAGTTCAAAATGACATCATGATAGGGCTGGAGCATTTGCCCTCATTTTGATCGAAACCTTTTCGCTTATAATGGCTAAACTAGCAGTCTAAAGGTATAAGGACTATTATAATTTTTTGACAATATGAAAATTCAAAAAAAGATCTCTCACGTTTTTACGATACCTTGATGGTTCTTCAAGCATAAGGAGAGAAAATCAAAAATTCGTATCAAACTCTGCACTCTACGAGGGTGGGCTGAATGGTTTCCGACCTCAACGTGAAGATGGCATGTAAATAAAAGCTAGTGAATTTCGTTGTTCATCTTACTCACCAAAGATTCAGCCATTTTGGACGCACAGTTGTTATGTAACAGTGTTTTTGTTAAAATGGACAGAAGCGAGTATCGAGTTGTCATAGAATATTTGTTTTTGAAAGGAAATACGCCTACGCAACTCAAATATGAGTTGAATACTGTGTATGAGGACTCTGCAACAACATTTATTACAGTGAAATTCCAGGCAGCTGAATTTAAACATGTCCGTAAGAGCTTGGGAGGCGATGAACGTTCGGGACGCCCAAAAACCGCAATTACCGACGAAAACATCGCCAAAATTCACCAAATGGTGATCGACGACCTGTTGGGGTTCGGGTCCAGTTCTTCTCTTCTTCCCTGTTTTGTTGGGGCTGCTCGAAGGACCATATAATACCGATGTAAGAATTTGATACCTTTTTATTACTGGAGGACAACTCAAAAAGATATAGCGTACAAAATTTGCTTTGACGTGCCCGATTTTACATATTGACGCCATATTGTTTTATTCTGTCGTCTATCTTCTTGAGCTCAGATAAGTCCTGTAAGTAACAACATCTGCAGGTAAGCGATCAAATTATATAATAAACCATAAATTAAACTAAACAGAACGCCGAATTAACGTGAGACAGTTAGCAAAGGTTATGAACATGTCAAAAGATTGTGCTTGTCACATATTGGGTGGAATGCTTAAAACGTAGTAGATGCTATTGCTTCACTAAAAAGTATCTAGTTTGTAGCATCCTCTCTTACATAGAAGTATGTGCTTTATCTGAGAAGAATATACTATTCTGTATGGCACAACAGAAGTACCTACTACTAACCTGAAGTATCTATTACTAAGCGCCTAAAAGGCGGCGCGCGCCGCGCCGCGGCTGTGTGCTCGTGTAAATCACATCAATCGTGTTAGAACTTGTTTTTCATCTGCCTGTACATTCACAATAAATTTTTACTACGTACATTATTAGCATTTCGTCTACAAGTAAAAATGAGTGACTCGTCAGATTCCGATGCGACAAAAGAGTTAGATCAGGATAGATATGAACAATTGTTATTTGTTAATATTCTTGAGGATTATCAAATTTTGTTTGATAAAAGAATGACACCAAAATTCAAGAATGAAGAAGAAGATGCACTGAAGAAATTAACTGCTGCCTTCAATGAAATAACAGGAAAAAAACTGGATGCAAAACAGATTTTGTATAAGGGCTGCAGGTAACAGTTATAAAACAAAAGTGTAAGCCTCTTGCAGCCGCTATAGGACATTTGCGTCAGTGCAAGATTCAGTTTTTGTCAACTATACAACTATTCTCTTACGTGATTCTACTTTATTGCAACCAAACTATTTCCTATGTATTGTATAGACGAAGGGAAGAATATATAACTAACACACTACAGTCATCTTGTTTACTTACATATCCGCCATTGTGAATTTCATACACAGGTATATGATAAACTTCTACACTTTGATATAGGGCTATTGAATTACTTGCGCAGCAAATTTTGTTGTGATTATCGTGCAAATTAGTTACCCAATTTCTACGGGCTTCGTATTTGATTCATATTTTGACATTGATCAAAAGTATGTCTAGATTTTTAAGATGGAAAACTGAACTCATCTGCGTTAAATCTTCCACAAATCCTATATTTAGACACAATTGCACTAATGTTTATCACTTTATATCTGTAATTTCGAACTGAAACATAATTATTTAACATTAAATAGAGGAATAAATGTTTGCCCAATATGGCATGTGGTTGTGTACAATCATGGCATCGTCTATGTTGTCTTTAGGTTATTGGAATATTTTGGTGTTGCCTGCAGGTGTTATACAACAATTTGGCAAATGTCTGAAATGAAATACCGACAGAGCCGAATGATTTACCCAGAATTTGTACCAGATCTATATCTTCTGTTTGAACAGTTGATAAATCCTTTTGAACCGATATGCATGTGTTGTTTGTCTTAAAACGTTGGTTATGGCATTTTAACAAAAATATTTTAGACACCTCATTTTAGAGCAAATATATATGTTGCAGAAAGCAAATTTGCACACAACATTAAGCCAGTCTTTTTGGTGTTCAGGCAACAACAATAGTGAGCTTTTATGGCAGAACGGTTCTTTTACCAAAAGCTTATACCACTACTTTGCTAGTTGGGCAGGTGGGTGTCAGGCCGGTGTAGTAGATGAGGATGGGGTTTCACTACAAAAAAAGAATATGAGTTCCTTAGTTCCAAATCTGGTTCCGGACAATTTACAGCCGGAACACTTAAAAATCCTAATGCGAAAGAGGAGTCCCTGATTCAGCTACAGAAGAATTGCTTACGAAAACAAATTGAAGCAGCCGAAGCTCAAAATTTCATGTGCTCGAGCTCAACAGTCTTCGGCGGCAGCTGTAGAACGGGCCGAGATTGCATTAGAGAAGTTTGCCGAAGCTGGTGAGCAGTTAGTCAACCATATAATTGAGCGTGACATGTTACAGTGACAAAATAAGTTTGTATTTATAAATGTTATAATATATATAGTTATAATAATAAATGTTAAGAGTTATAATTTCATTTTGTTAAAAGGTTTTACTAAATAAATATGTTATTAAGTTGTATCTTTTGAATATATTAATTACTAATTGAAAATAAAACCAAATACCACATAATATAATTTACTGTTAACGTTTGTTTGTTATTAGACGACCCTGTGCATAATGATATTATATTAGTTGACATCACGAAATATAGCCTCCGCAACGTCGTTTCTACGTTGTGTGCCTCGATTTCGAATTTGTGGTTGATTACCCTCAGGAATCAGTTCAATAGCATCTTGTACTTCAATCTGAACTGGATCAAAATCATGGTATGGATCTTGCAAATGTTTAGATATGTTATGAAGTACAAATGCACTCACAACATGTTTTTAATTTTTAGGCAAAATGTATACTGGAGCATTGGAAAACGCCGTTTCAACTGACCAAAGCAGCGTTCTATGACACAACGTTCCTTCGCATGGATTAAATTATAATTTTCTTAAATAGGTGTGGTTGGATTTTTAAATGGTATCAACAACTACGGTGCAATACCATATCCTTCATCACCTAACAAGGCTGCTCCTGGCACATTATTATACATAATTCGATGCACTAGGGAGTTTCGCCAAATTCGACTATCGTGGACGGACCCTCGCCAAGTCGCATCGACACTGACAATGATTTCTTTGTCGTTACAAGTAGCTTGTACATTTATTGAACATATCCCTTTTCTATTCACATATTCATCACCATGGATTCGTGGCTTTGTTATTTTAACGTGAGTGCAATCAATAGCACCTATGACACTGGGCATTCACTTGGTATTTGCCCACTCATTGATAGCAACTCCAAGTAAATCGTTAGTATTAGGAAATGTTATCCAGTTATTTCTCTTGGAATAAATTGCTCCAGATACAGTAATCAAGGTTCTGGATACAGTACTTTGGTTTACATCTAAATCAACAGCAACTCCTTGCTGAAATCCAGGATCTCCTGAAAAATTTATATTTATATTTTTTAATATTCAGAATATATTAACCTAAACTTCTCAAAAATATCTCCATTTTCCGAGTAGGTGACAAGGCTCCACATCTTGTTTCTACAGGATCCTCATTATCGTCAAGAAAATGGTTTCCAAGCCACTCTACATTTTCTCTGTTAAACCTTAAACCAAAAATTATGAAAGTAACTTGATTTTATATTAATAATAATTACATAAGCATAAAACTGCACGATTTATGATAATTACCTAAATAATTTACGATAAATATTATGGTTGTATATCCTCGCTTGTTTGTAAACTTTTCTACGACGCACATTCATGAATGCTGCCATTTTCCAAAAAAAAAAAAACTGAACTTGCGGTAGCCGAAGTTGCTTATACACTAACTTAACTTAAACTGGAGCAAATACTACTAAGCCACCAAATACTTCTAAAGCGTAGTATATTCTTCTATGTATCTCGTACATAGTAGCATATGCTATGGAGGAAAGTAAATACTTTGTTAGTGTAGTTAAAACTTCAAAAATGTAGTGTATACTTGAAGCATTAGCATCTACTACGTTTTATGCATTTCACCCATTAAATCAACATTCAGGCATGTGACGGGTTTCCGCGCGTTGGGTGTCGCGTTTGCTCACGTTAGACCAAAAATATGTTGGCGCAGTTAAGGCGCAATAAATCCCAGTTTTGGCGCCGATTAATTACTGTAGATGAAACATGGATACACCATTATGCGACCGAAACAAAAATACAGCATAAACAGTCGACTGCAGCAGGGGAACCGGCTCCAAAAAAGCAAAAACTGTATTTTCGACTGGGAAAATGATGTCGAGTGGCGAAAAGTAAAGCTCGTGTCACCAATACAACGCGCCGTCACACACCTCAGTGGCTGCCATGGCGGAAATCCACGAATTACGGTTTGAACTGCTTGACCATCCTTACTCACCAGATCTAGCGCCAAGCAACCCTTTGCTACCTCATCTAAAAATTGCGCTCGGAGAACAGAGATTTCCATCAAATGAAGAGGCAATCATCTTCGCGAGCATTTGTTTTACAGAGAAAGACACCGAGTACAATTTGGTACAGGTTACAGAGATGGGAGCATTTTTGGGAGAAGCGTGGAGAGTTACAAGGAGACTATGTTGAAAAATAAGACAAAAAAACAGAAAAAATGTTTTGTATCTTTATTAGGTCGGAAACTTTTCAGACCATCCTTGTACGTACGTTGTCCACGTGTCTGCAAACACCATGCATTTAGGTGGAAGTAACTCCATAATTCGTCCATTAAGGATATCATTTTACACTAAATCCATTCATCCTGCGGTAACGCGTGAGTATGGAGAATGTAATATTTTCGGATATTTTGTTACACATTTATATCAGCCTGTCTATTGGCGATTTTGTCACTATGCAGCCTCAGCGACCGTAGCAACTATTTTAATGGAAAGGGAGTAATTCCATAACTACATGTTTTCTTTCATTGTAAGATAGTAATTTTCAATAGACTGATGGGAGTGAGTAACTTCATCTTCATAATGAAAATATCACTTTAAAAATTGTGTTCTTGATCACAGATAATGACTATGAAGTTATTTCAACGTAAAATAGTGTTTCATGCGGATTATGTGGACGTACTTAGCACGCGGAGTTTAAGTCACACAACTATTTTGATGCGAATTTCCAACTTTGCCTCCTTATCCTTCCAGAACCATCAAGGTGCCAAAAAAACGTTAACGCATTTTTTGTAGCAAATTTTATTTTCCACAAAAAATAGTAGTATTTTATTCCTTTAGATTCGTAGTTTACCCATTATAACCAGAAATATCATTAGGTATTTCGTTTATACCTATCATGTTATTTGTGGCATGTTCTTGATTATGCAAAGGATTTAATGCAAGAGTATTTAGTTTCCAGGAATATGTAGTAGTAGTACTGTTTTTTTAATGACTTGAGACCTCAAAAGTGTACTCTAAGGGCAAAACGGATCGGGCAAAGTGGATACTGTATCCGCAAAAAAATACGGACTTGCATATGCCACCCTATACAGGTATGTCAAAAGTGGAATTGCTTCTCCAGAGCTCGGTCGATTCCGTCCTATATTCAACAAGGATCAGGAAATTGAACTGGTGACTTACCTACAAGATATGGATGCAGTGTTTTTCGACCTTACTCGGGATAAATTTATGAGTCTAACATTTGAGTATGCACACCGGAACAATTTGCAATACCCTGATAGCTGGAATAAAAATCGAAAAGCTGGAGAAGAATGGCTGTAAAGATTTTTATCACGTCATACCAACTTGACACTAAGAACTCCAGAATCAACATCTGTGGCAAGAATGAAAGGATTTTATCGCCGCGAACTATTTCTATTAAAACCTTGAATCTGCCAGAAAAATAGCATCGAAGCCTCTAGACTATACAATATGGACAAAATCAACGACCTCAAATAAGCTACCAAAGGCTATCTCCGTAAAGGGGAAAAACAAGTAGGCATGATTGCAAGTGCAGAACGTGGTCAATTGACAACCATCATCGGATGTTGTGATGCAGCTGGTAGCTTTCTTCCACCTTTCCTAATTTTTGCAAGAAAGAAGATGCAAGCAAGACTTCTTGATGGAAGCCCGCCAGGGACTCAAGCAACGTGTACACCTAACGGTTGGACATCAGGCGAAGTCTTCTTGAACTGGATGCATTTCTTCGTAGAGCAAGTGAGGCCAACATCAGACAAAAAGGTCCTATTACTATTAGACAACCATAAAAGCCACAAATACTACCCTGCACTTGAGTATGCCACCAAGAATAGTGTGTTCATATTATTCTTAGCACCGCATACTACTCACAAAATGCAAATTATGGATGTTACTGAAAACTCGTTTTGAAAGGGTAGTCAATATTTTTTAAAAATCTCACCCCGGTCACATCATCAACCACTACGATGTAGCTAGATTGCTAGCACCAGCTTTTCTCAAAACTGCTGTGGCCATCAATGCAGTGCATGGATTTGAACGACCTGGAATTTGGCCTATAAACAAGCACGCTTTTGGTGATGAGCATTTTGCACCAGCCGAGGTACTTGCAGGTACATCCACTTCGAGTACTCAGACTGAAACTTTGTCCTCACTGGGAATAATTGATTTGAATTAGTCGGCTGTTCAACCGTCACCTTTAATTGATTTTCACGATCAACCCACATTACCTTCATTGGCAAATGCCACTCAACAATCCGATTCCGTCATCAGCCATATTCAAGAAGAAAATGCACCGATTTTAGAATCCATTAATCCTTTACCTGTTTCGTTGTTTGATAAATTTGAAGTTTTAGGTCGTTCTCAGTCTCAAAACGACGTTAATATGTATGCTGAAGACCGACCGTGCACTCCTATGGGATCTGACACTAAAAAGAAACTCACGACAATTATGCTCCCACCGCTTCACCTGAACCTGGATGTTCTAAGATCTAGCCTAAAAAGACTACAAAAGAAAATAAAAAGCACAAGAAAATAATGAAATTTGTTAATCTCAGCTGCATTTTCGGTGGTGAAATGTACATTGAACAAAATGATCAACCAACAGAAAACTGTATACTATGTACAATTTGTACTGAGTGTTGCCATGAAGACTGTTCAGCCTATGAAAACGGTGATGATTTTGCTTGCGATAACTGCAATAGTTAGTTTTGTAGCAGAAAAATGTTATTTTAAATATTATGCTCTTTTTATTTTTTCTGTTTTTAAGTTTCATTTTATCCCAAATAATGTTGTTCTTTAGTCTGAGCTGGTACCACATAAACATTTTATTATAAATAAAATATTAAATAAAGATAATGTTTTTCCAGTTTTGTTTGTTTATTTTGTTTGTAAGTTTAATTTCATGCTAAATACTGTTGTTATTCGCTTTGCCCAGGTAAAGTGGATAGAAAGCAACTGTTGTGAGCCTATCTTATAACATAATTAGTATTAAGAGCAAATGCTATAAAAATTCGTAAGTTCCTTTAACGAAGGCTGGTTATACATTTTTGTGAATTTCCCAAGTTATAACTAATCGACAATAACCAAAAACAGCTTACTTTGCCCGGATTTTCCCTGCATGTATGTTTAGCCTTTAATTCCTCGTAATCTGTAGACTATACAACAAATTCTTATAGAAGCAAAATTATTAAGAATTCAAATCCATTACTCTATTTTAAATACGATCATTCAAGATTTTTGATCAGATTCGTGTTTCAAAATGGCGGCAAATGATCCAGCCCTATCATGGCACCAGTTTGAACTTATAGTTAGGAAGCAATAATCTACCGACACCACCATAAAAAATTACTATCGCCCAAATAGGCTAGTTGACGCTCTTCTTAAGTCGGCCTTAAATGGTTAGTATTTGTTCTGTTAGACCTAAAAAACTGCTAGTATACACAGACATAAAAGAGCGTAACTTAATTTAAAAATATATTTTCCTTAGACAGATGAAAACGCTGCCCGCCACGTTTGGTCCATCTATTAATGTCCTCCGAGGTAGTATCATTTGTAAACAACAGTTGACGGCAGTATAACGTCTCAAACTTTTGAACATACTAGCATGAGTCTTACTACTTTCCATCAAAAATGTCATAATTACCGTTGTTGTATCATCCGAGAATGTAAAAACACATTGATAAAGACCCCAGGAAAGCTGTGGATTACATTGCCCAAGGACATAAATATAAGCAACACTGTGTATTGCTGGGAGCACACCTTATGTTGGGATATATGGTATTTTACATTTTACTGTGCAGAGTTTAACGTCTCGTTTACGAGTAAGTTCGACGTAAGCTACGGCATCATCACCGTACGATTCCCTGGCAGATGTGTAAGAAGAAGTACTACATTAGATAACATTATTCAGAGGTTACGATGCATCATCTTAGTCTTCAATATCTTCTGCAAAGGAAGATTAAGTAAATGTACTTATTCTTTCTTTACATATGTATCTCTATATCAGATACGCTGTACTTACATAGAGGTCTTGATGTTCCTCAGCTCAGCAGAGCATATATCTGGATTGGAGGCAAAACTATTTCAAACTCTATGAATGTGTCAGTTTTCTGCTTTTATGAATCCAACAACCATGATTGTCTTATCAATAAAACGAGAAAGCGATGTATTTACGTTGATCAGGAGTTTCTTAGAAATATATAAGGAGGACAACGTTAGACCAGGAGTGACATACGATGACATTTCTTTGTTTACACTTTGTGCGACGTCACATCATGGCCGATAGTGTTTTTACCATTTTATGTTAAGGAAAAAAATATTTGTTATACAGGGTGTTTGAAAGGTCGATACAAAGTCTTAGG